CGTTCGTCTTGTTTCTTTTCTTTTTCCTCTAACAACTGTTGTAATTTCTCTTCTCGTGTATTGCTGCCATCAAGTCTGCTAAGCTGTAGTTTGATTTTCCGCCTCTCGTTTCCATTTTTCTTCTTTTTTTTATCCCACTCTCTGACACCAATTTGTTACGTCTCCGTTTGTTAATTTATTTTTCCGTAACTTCGTTCCGACGAAACTTTAACGACACAAGTCTTTACTTAATAAAACTGGTTTATTCTTTCCGAATATAACTTTACGATACACTTAATATTCGCGCTAAAACAAACACTATAACGAACGAACGTTAACTTCAACAATACCCTGTGACGAATTAGAGGGGTTTGATGGTTCTCCAAAGTCAGTCAAGAAGTTACGTTTTAGGGAGATCTTGGTAAAAACATCTACACCAAACCTTAGCAAACTCCTTCTGAAATCAAAGGCTAATGAGTACATACCTATTGAGGTTACTACCCATACTAATTTGAATCTCTTACGAGTAGTTATTGTTGAGATGGATTTAAAGAACATCCCCGAGTCAGAAATCTTCACTGGTTTCCCCAGCCAAGAATTTCTGCTGTGTGACGTATCTCCATTCGTAAGGATGGAATTATGCAGCTTACCAATGTTCTTATACTGATATTTACATCACCACATCCACTTGCCACTGTTAAGGCAGGTTATCTGCCCTGTGTGGATGCAAGAGTTGAAAATTCTACGTCTATTCTTGTTCTTGCCCTCACCATTGCTTCCATTGATTGCTTGGATTCATCTCCCTTGACCCCGAGGTATAGAACCATTCTTTGGTCATGCACTCAATCTCTGGAGTCTCTTTTCTCTGATAGAGACCTGTCCAATCGACCCAGGGAAGGTTTCATGGAGGTCGACAGACCTATTTCTTCTAAAGAAAAACAAAAGAGTTCTTCACACAGTTCTCTTCCTTCTAAGTAAAAATGACAACTTCGTTACAGTAGAACTGTCAAGGTTTTCATTCTAATTTCGATGACATGAAGACCTTGATAGATTCCTATCATCCCGAGTGCATCTCCTTGCAAGAATCATTAATTTGACATGCTGATACTGTAATCTTTCAGTAGTTTTCATTGTACAGGAATTACAGGTTGTGATGGGCAAGTTTATAGAAGTGTGGCACTGCTGTTTGACCAGCATATACACACCATGCTTGTGCCACTCAATATGCTTAGAGGATGTGGCTTTCTGTATCTCTGTGGGTCGTACAATCATTGTATCTTCTCTTTACCTGTCACCAGGAGAGATTTACGATCAATTAGATCTTGATGATCTTACTGACCAGCAGCCACCTCCCTTCATCTTGGGAGATTTTTAATGGACACGATCCCCTCTGGGGTGGTACTAATATTGATGGGAGGGGTCGTTCTGCAGAGTGTATGCTCGCGGATTACAACCTTCCTCTCTTCAATACCAATTCATTTACCTAGACAGTCTTGTACTGCTATTAATCTATCTGTTCATCTTCACTTTTTTCTCATTTCTCTTGGAGGGTTGACATTTGAGGGAGATTGGCTGCAATCGATGCCTCCCAACCTGAGTGCCATGGTGGAAGTTGGAGAAGACTGATTCCACCAAGCCACAACAAATCCTGGCAGAGCACACAAAGTCACGTGCTTTCAAACCATTCATAAAAACGAGAACAGAAGAATGGTTCAAAATATATTCAACAAAGAAAAGACAGTACATCCAATTGGGAGTATCCATCCTCCTCAGATGACTCTAGGAAAGGTCACAGGTGGGAATGGCAATGAGCCATGCCAGGATTTGCTGATCATGGGAATCAGCAATGCCATCCAATGGTAGACCAAGTTCAGCCAGCTGTGCCTGGTTACAAAGGCCAAAAGGAGGAATGGCAGACCATCTATTCCTAAAGAGCACAGCCCACTCAGGAAGGAAGACACAACACCAGATGGAATGCCATGGTAAGGATCGAAGCTTGGTAGCAAAAGCAAGGAAAGTTGCAAACGTCTAAGGTGAAGAGGAGGTTCATGGGGCTCAGTGTACAGACTTTGGATTGGTGAAGTGTGGAAAGCCTGCTCCCAAAGAGGTGGAGGATATCCTCTGCCCTTGTATACTTGACACGAGGCTGCTTAATTTAAGGAATAAAAGTAAGTTTATGGTCAAAAACTTTGTCTCAGCCACCACAGAAGGAACATCACTACCGAGATGGAGCTCTGGATCAGGATGCAAACAATCTTAGAAGAAGAGAAGGTGAAACTGTTTGCTCTGTTTCACCCCAACAAGCAAGTGAGAGCAGTTTGAAGCTGTTGCTCAATAAGCCTTATGTCCGATGACCAACAAGAAATGTGCATAGAGGCTGTTTGCAACTATAGGAGGAAGTTATTTAGCGATAGCATTGATCTCTATACTGTAAAGGATGACACACAAGACACAACCCTGACGGACAAGTTCCTGTTTGAAAGAATATGACAAGGTCAAACCTGCACAGACTTGGAATCTCCTGTCAAGTAAAAATTTACAAATAAAAATGGACAAATGGTCACTTAACCCATAGGAGTGGAGGTCCTGAAAAATTCAAAACCTCCATGTAGTATCATAAGCCTTATCAAGGTCAAATAAGATAGAAACAATATGCTCTTTCTTGAGGAAGGCCTCCCTGATCGAAATTTCAAGAGAAATAAGGTGGTCCATAGTGTAGTACTATCTACAAAAACGACATTGGGTGAGCGAGAGGAGGTTGTTTGATTCAAGTAACCAAACAAGACGTGCATTAACCATCCTCTCCAAAACCTTACAGAGACACTTAGTTAAAGCAAAAGGTCGATAACTAGAAAGAATCTTGGGAACCTTCCTGGGCTTTGAAAAAGGGAAAACAATAGCCTTGAATCAGAATTAACATTCTCCTGTCAAATCTGTTTTAAAACAACCAGAAGAAGAGCAGGAAAGAGATGGTGCAGCATCTGACAGTGAACATCATCAGGTCCAACCGATGTGCTGCCAGACCAATGAAGAGCAAGCTTAACTTCCACCAGTTTAAATGGGTGATTATAATCATAGAGATGATCTGTGTGAAAGGAAAGTGGCAATCTCTCAGCCTGAGACTTGGTAGCCAAGAAGGCAAGAGATGAGACAGAAGTTCTAGGAAGATGGGAAAAGCACACCACAGGAGTATCAGTAATGTTCTGTATATCGGCAACTTCCTGGGCATTGGAGAGCAGGATGGGAAGCATACTTCTTACCTCCTGAATCTTGTCCCAGATGACTTTGAAACTGGTAGTATAAGAGATGCTGGTAGTGAAGTTATCCAGGATTCCTACTGACTTTGACACGTGACCAGCTAGGCATGGGCATGAGCATGCTGGAAAGTAATGTGATCAGAATAAGTGGGATACCTGCAAAAGATATCCAAGGCCCACTTCTAAGCCTTCCATGCCTGTTGGCAGATAGGAGACAGCCATGGATTAGGATACTATGCAAAACGTGTCAATGTTTTGGGGAGAGAATGAACAACTGCTTGAATAATACAATCAGTTACTGCCTCCATGCAGTCATTAATAGATGGAAGACTAACGATAGCAGGATCAAGTTCCCGAGAGAGCGGTGAAGGAGAGCCTGTAATACCAATTATTAAAAAATACATTCAAATAAGTGTTGAATTTTTATAAAAGTTCATAATTAAACTCTTAGTTACTATATTTAAAAAAATTCAGAAATGGATTTTACCCCCAAAATCAAAATGTCTAATGAAAAATAGTTTATTAAGTCCTTAACGTGACTGAGAAAGTAGTGTTCTATTTAAAAAATAAAATGCATTTTTCAAAGTTATTTGACCAGATTTTAATTAACAACCTTCACTATATGGTTCAAGTAATGAATAAAATCAAGCATAAAAATAAAGTTTTTTCTGTCTTTGCCATATTATTGATGCTGAAATTTTTATTGTAATGTAAACTGAAATAGATAATCTACCATTGTTTCTATGTTGTGCCACAGTGGATGACAGACATGCATAAATCAAGGAAACACTTATTTCTTACAAGTTTATTTCATTTCTCTTTATCTCTTATAAATGGATAGAGTGCACTATATGGTGGGAACCTTTTGAAACTTAAATGTATTCATGTGCCATTTGAAAAGAACTGAAAGAAATACATTGCTAAATCAAGTTCTTCCTGTAATTGTAACAGGTTCTTCAAAAGTTTGAGCCTCTGCAGAATGATTGAGTGTTTAGACACAAGTTATTGAATGTTCATTTAAAACAAAAATATTTACAAATTCATGAGCAATTAAAGCTCTTTAATGGCTTGTTCTTTAGTGGCTCAATGATAATCTTAAAGACTTATAACACAGGAATTTAGGGTTTTAACCCCATTGTACACATATAACCCATTGTGCAGCTTTTGGCTTAATAAAAAACAAACTTTAATGACTTCTGCATTCTTACATATTCTTCATGCTGTTAGAAGAAATAGGCTTAGTGATGTAGTATCTCATAAAACATTTCTTTACCAGATTAAAGTATTCTGTCATTTGGTACTTAAATGAAGTATGTTTAGAAAAAAAAATGTATATATACAAATATTTGTATTCTGAATAAAACCATTTGGATGATCAGTAGATTAGAAGAAATATATATGTAGTATGTACTTTATTGGAGTATTGTTGAAGTGGAAGAAACATAACTTTTTGAATGAAATACAAGTTTTATCATCCACTTTGTTAGATATATCGCTAACTTTATCATAATTTACTAGTTCCGAATAATTTTTTTTACCAAGTTCTTGGCATCAAGCAGAATTATTAGTCTTTTTTGAATAAGTTTTTAATAAAATAGGATGAATTTGGAAAAGGTTGTTTTACACTTTTGAGTATTTACACCAAAAAGTACAAATATCATGATAGATCTTAGAGAGTCAATTTGTTCATAGTATTTTAAATCTTTTTCTGCAGGAGCAATCCCATAAGATGTTTGTCTTCTTTGATTTCAAGAAAACTAAAGGTATTGGCAACAGACAGAAACTTCCATCAATTCAACTACAACCTTGTCTTTACAAGAAAAGATAAGAATCTATCAGATTTTTCACAGGTGTACTTGCAATTTCAAAAAGGTTTCCCTACCACTTTTGTACTCTGTAAATAAAATAAAATTAAATATGAGCTTTAATGAACTGTGTAGAAGACTTATTGTGTGCTTTTACAACTTTACTCCAATTTATGTACAAGAAATTTAGATAAAATGAGCCTTTATATACACGTACAAGTTTAAGAAGATTTTTTTGCAACAATTTAGGCAACAAATATTTCTATAAAATACTATTTTCTTCTGCTTATTTCCTCTTTAAAGAAAAAGGATAATGTTGTTCAGAATTGACAACATGGTTAAATATGTTATGAGAATAAGAAATAATTGGAAGGCAAACAAAATAACTACCAAATATGTTGAATGACAATTTATAGAGGTTCATACTTACACATGATATCTTTTGGAATTCATCTCTCTTTTTTTCTGTATTCATGTTTCCTTTTTTATTACTCATACTTTTGTTTACTAAAAGTAAAACAAAAATGATTCATATCTTTGTTTATTAAAAGAAAAAGACATTTTTAGCTCAGTGAAAGGTTAGTTTTTTTTTTTTTTTTAGCTGTTCAGCTGACTAGTTTTGGCAACACAGTCACTATCATCAAACTTTTAATATACAGTAGCACAATGTTCCTGAAAAGAAATCATATTTTTATTGTTCTTGGTGACTGGGCTATCTGTGCCAAACAAACTGTAAATATGCCAGGAATAACATACTAAAAAATTTAAAAAACAGCAAGTTAAAAGCTAAACAAAGCAACAAAATCAGGTAAAAAACTAAATACAATTAATGAGACCAATGTCCTGCAAAAAAATTAACAACACAATCAAGTTGGACAGTGTAACCATTTCCAATGACACTATCCAGAATAAGGGGTAAACTCTTAGAAAATACATGTCTAAAATGGTATCCCCACTCACATTCGTAACAATGGCACAAAATTAAAATGTGGGCAGTTGTGACCAGAGTGTTGCAAAAGCCACACATTGGTGGATCAGTTCCACATAAAAGAATACGATGAGTTAAAAAACTGTGACCAATGTGTAGCCTAGCCAAGACAACTTCCTCCCTCCAATCCTCACAGAAACTAGACAACCAAAGAACAACAGAAGGTTATAGTTGGAAAAGCTTGTTATGGATGTGTTCACCCCAAGGCAACTGCCAACTAGCACGAAACTATGCCCTGATCATAGGACCATAGTTCATATGTGGGACAGGCATGTCTGTGACAACGCCAGAGCAGATGGACTTAGCTGCAGTGACAGCAATCTCATTCCCATGAATACCAATGTGGCCAGGTATCCAGAAAAACTGGATAGAAACAGATTACAGAAAAAATAGGACCAGTCGTTTCTGAGTGTTCAAGAGAACAGGATGAAAACTCGCATTAAGTGATTGCAGGGCCAGTATGGAGCTAAGCAAGTTTGTGCAAATAGTATAGTTAGTGTACTGCTTAGCTTCTATATGATCTAGGGCAAGAGAACTGGCATACAACTTGGATCCTGTGAGCAAAATAAACATACTCTAATCTCTGAACCCTGCTCTCTACAGTCTTAGAGCTTATGTGCAAATTTCTCAATTATTTCTCAGTCTACTACCAACAACCAAAAGAAAGCTCTTACTTCACCATTTACACCATGTACTCTCAATTTTTAATTATAAATGTGTTGTATATCTTAGAAGGACAAGTCAATGGTTCATTGTGGTGCTGATTGTTCCATTCTTCAAAAAACATCTCATGAACAAACAATCTACTTCCCTGGGGAAGTAAAGAGGTTAAAATGTTGGAGAGTGCACTGAACAAGCAACATAACACAGTGTCTGAGGTTTTCTCAATCAAAATAAGCTTCAAACCAACACTGTTAAATCTAAGTCATGATTTAGCCAATTGAATAGGAGTTTGTTTTTTAACCGATATAAAAACCCAAATATCAACAAAATACGGTCATATTTCAATTATTATACATTATATATGTATATAGATTATTCCTATTTTGAAATAAGATTTAAACTTATTTTTCTTAAAACATAGAACAGTAAATAAAGAAGTAAAGCAAACAATTATCTCTTATAGTTACGACCTTTGTACTCAGTTGCTACTTGATGTAGGTTGCTAAGCCTTTAAACATTTTGCACATAGAGGATGTGAAACAAAACATTTTTTTTAAATTTTATATATACACATTTGAAAAACTAAAAAATCATGAATTACTACATTAATACCATAAAATTCCACTATAATTTATCAAGTTTAGTAACTAAGATGTATTTTAGTCTAAAAAAATATGAAATTTTGAGCAGATTAAAAATGCACCCTACCTCCTTGAAATATTGGTTCAAAAGGATGGAATGGCTTCCAAGCCCTTTAAAATGGCTGAGAAAGCCACTAGGGGGACATTCTGAACTTTCGATTGGTTATTCATGTTGTATATATAGAAGTAAGTGTAAGGGAGTGTTTCCAAAAATGGAAAGAGGTGGGTTGGGTGCCACTGTGTTTGATTTATTACATGAGCAATATCTAAGCAATATCACGGCCTTTCACCCGTGACCTGTCTTGAAAGGGTTAATGACGATATTGTATTTGCACTGTTAGTCTAAACACTTATAGTAGCATACAAAAATTAAATACTGGGAAAAATATTACTTAGTTGCAAAATTCAATTACTTAAATAATACACTGTGGGATTGTAAGAACTGCAAAGTCTCAACTCTAAATTCCATAAATGAGTAGACTAGTATTTTTAAAAACACAGCTGAGACAAGTTACTTTGTACAGACCAAAGGTTAGTTTTATGTTGTTTGACATGGTAACATGAGCCACGTCATTGTTACTTCTGTATTGTTAGCCAAGAACAGCTGAAAAAAGGTCAGTATAGTAAAAATAATAAATATATATAAATGTATAATGTTATGAGATTAAAGCTATTTAGTCCATTTATGTTTTCGTGTTATAATTTGTGTTCATTCTAGAATGAAAAATGC